CAGCATCACTCCAGAAGTGGAATATGGACCCAAGGGCTTAAAATGTGAAGATCAAACCACTTGCAAGTCTGCAACAAGGTGGGCTGAAACATGGAGCAGGTGGAAAGCGTGCTAAAGCCCTGGGTGCCGTTAGCAAAGCTCTCCTATGGCACTCAGAGCAGGAAAACCAGGGGAGCAGCAGGAGGTGGCAGCTCCACCAGCCCACTTCTCCCTTTAGGCTGCTCAAATCCCGGGCAGGGTTTCAGCACTGGATGTGCAGATCCGTCTGGGCTTATTTTGCAACTGGATGGCTTGAGAACCAAATTTCATTTTCTGACCTGCAGCTGAATTTCCTGAAAATCATTAATTTTGGCAGGAAGTTGTGACTCAGGCAGCTCTGGCACTGCTATCCTGGGTTTGTGTGGCAGAGTTTCTGGTACACAGATGGAGGATGCAGAGGCAGCCTTTATGAGAATCTTCTCAAAGCTCTCCTGTCTCCAAGTCAGACTCACCCCGGCCAAGGCCAAGCCAATTAGCGATATTGGTTGTGCCCCTGTAATAATGTATTTAAGGAGTGTAACCTGAGAGGGTGTTGGGGGGATTTGTGAGGAGGCGTTAGAAGGACACCTATAGAACACCGAGGTCAGTGGAAGGCAGGAGGAGGAAGGGGCGGAGCTGTGCCAGAGCAGAGACTCCCCGTGTATCCTGTGGTAAGACAGCAGGGCTGCCCCCCTGCCACCCATGGAGGTCACCAGAGGAGCAGAGATTTGCCCGCGACCTGCAGAGGACCCCAGGATACTGTGGGAAGAAGCAGCCCCCGCTCTTCAAGTTCACACTGGGAGGACTGCAACATGTGGGGTGACCCACACTGGAGCATCTCAAGAAGATGCATCCCGTGAGGAGGACCCTCAATGGAGAAAGTTCATGGCAGAGTATCTCCCATGAGAGGGATGCCACGTGGAGCTGGGGGAAGAATGCCGAAGAGTGTTCCCCCCACCTTGCAGGAAGAAGCGGCGGGTGACTGCACTCCCCAGCCCCTGCCCCTGCACTGCTGGTGGAGAAGGTGGAAGTAGCAGGAACAAAACCTGGCCCAGGCAGAGGTGGGAGGGGGGCGGGGGGAAGATGTTTTTACCATATGGTAATGCTTCTCACTATCCCACTCTGTCAAGTGTTGTTATCCTTAGTGTTTTGAATTAAAGTGATGTCCTTTTTCTTCCCCTAATGAGCCTGTCTTCTGCCTGAGTCCATAATGAGTGAGACCCTCCTCCTTGTCCTTATCTCGATTTGTGAGCCTTTTGATTCGTTTTCTTGTTCACACTCCTGGTGGGAAAAGTTGGGGTGCACAGCTGCATGGTGCCCAGTTGTCCTCTCGCCTTAAACCATGACAACTGCCCATCGGAGTAAGTCACCAAGTCCAGCAGGCAGGAGTTTGGGGCTGCATTTGTGGGATGTCTGCTTTCCAATAAATCACACACATTTCCCTGGGAAGAGTTTTGGGGCTGCATGTGCTGCAGCTACCGGCGCTATGCTGCTGGTACAGAGCAGCTGCCCGGGCTTTGGAGCATCTGTCCTGGGCTTTGGACCACCCCAACTCCCCAGGCTGTCGGCTCGTGGCCATGGTCCCCTCTGTGGGGGGCGGGTGCTCAGCCCTCCCCATATGGGCACCCAGGACTGAGTCCCCTGCGAGAGCAGTAGCTGGAATTGGTGTTTAATGGGAAGACGAGACAGACTGGGATGCAAAGATGCAGGGTGAGGCCAGGCAAGTGTGCTGTGTGCCTGCACACAGCCTTTAGCCCAGCCCCGGCCATGGGGCATGCTGCTGCTCCACACCAGGGCTGCTGCTGGGGCCAACACCACAGGGCCCCTGTGGATGCCCCAAACGGGCACACAGGCAAAAAGGTACCTGCAGATGCATGAAGCCATGGTCAGGAAGAGGGATTGATTACCCAGCTGCTGTCCCCTACTTGTCCCCCAGCTCCATCCCTTCCAGCCACCACCCGACTCCATCTCACTCTGCCTATGGCCACCGAGTGCCTTCTGGCACCCCAGGGACACATTGGTCATGGCTCTCTGCCAGGTGGAGAAACATTTATTCAGTTTCATGTGTGGGGGCAGTGAGCTTTGGGAAGGGGGGGGCCTGCCAACAGGCTGCTGGGAGGCACTGGAAGGCACTGGGAGGAAGCAGGACAGGACGAGGGTGCATTGCCCAGTGAGGATGCTGGGAACAGGCAGGAGCCCAGCCCAGGACCAGGGTAGCAGAGAGCCTTGGGGTTGCAGGCAGGACAGCAGGGTGCAGGCAGGTCCGGATCCCATCCCCATCACTTGATGCGGGTGAAGATGGAGGTGCCGACCCTGCGGGGAAGCCATATCAGCAGGAGGGGAAGAAGGGCTGTGGGAGAAGAGGGCACGGTCAGGGCTCACCTGGTGGCTTTCCAGGAGTCCCTGCGTGATGGGACCTCTTCCCGCAGAAGCCACGTGGTCTCCAGAGTCTCCTTCCCACGGCGGTCCACGAAGCACTGGCCCACAAAGGCGGTGGTGGAGTCTGGTGGGGTTCAAGCAGGGCAGAGGGACCTCAGAGCCTGCACCTCCTGACAGGGGAAGCTGGGCCACCTGATACTGGCAGACAGTTGCCCCTGCCACATGTCCTGGACAGACAGATGGACCTCCCTGCCAGATTGCCCAGATGGGTTGCTTTTCCCACATCACCTGCAGAGACAGATGGGCACCACCCCTGCCACATCCCTTGGACAGACAGATAGACACCCTGCCACTTCTCCCAGACAGACACACCCCTGCCACCCGTGACAGACAGTCAGCCCTCCCCCACCATGTCCCATGGCAGGATCAAGTGCATGTGGTCAGTCTGTGGCTGCAGCCAGGGTTTCTCTGGGTGCCACGGGGAGTATGGGGGACCACGCAGGGGAGCACCTTGATCCCAGCATGGGCTGGGAATCACTGGCTGCCCCAGAATGCTGCACTGGGTACAGCTGTACCTGCAAACAGCCACTGCACGGTGAAGCCAAATGTGGGCTGCCCCTTGGCACTGGGGTGTTGCTGGGCCCCTTGCAGGGGCGACACCAGGATCTGCTTGTTGGTGGCTGCCACAGCAGTGTGGTAGGAGCCTGAGAAGGTCCCAGCCGCATCCAGGGCCCAGAGTGTCATGTTGGAGCCCAGTTCGTTCCTCCACAGACCCTGCAGGTCACACTGCGGACCAGAGGAGATTACTTGGGTGGCACCAAGCCACGGCCCCACTCCAGCCTGCCTGGGCAGTGGGACGTGTGCCCTGCGTGCCTGTGGCTGGCACGGCCCCTCTGCATGGGAGTTGGGACCATGCCATGGGCACCAGCTGGGCCAGCACCTCTCCCTCCTTGCGCAGGGCAGTGCTGGGGGTGCTGGGTACCCCCATACCAGGGGGAAGTGACCAACACTACCCCAGGGACAGCATGGCCAGAGCTGGCAGCCCCCTTGGTCACGCATGCTGCACGCTGGCATGGCCTGGCATGACACAGCACGGCACAGCAAGAGCATGCAGCCCCTTGGGCACAAACAGCGTGTGCTGGGATGGCAGAGCACAGCATGGCATGGCGGAGTGACAGCAGGCAACCCCCTCAGCCATGGCCACTATGTCCCAGAGCAGCTCAGCACAGCACGGCCCGGCACGGCACAGTACAGCACAGCACAGGAGAGCATGGAACAGCATATGGCATGGTACAGAACAGCACAGCTCAGCACTGCACAATCAGACCGTGCATCTCTGCATACATTCACCCTGCATGCTGGGGACAGCACAGCACAGGACTTCACCGCAGGAGCAGTCAGGTGCCCCCGCTGCTCACCTTTGCCTTGCAGATGAGCCCGAGCTGGAAGGAGGCAAATAGAAACACCTTTGCAGCTCAGAGCAGAGCAGACACCAGCAGTGTGCGAAGCACTGCGAGCAGGTCGTGCAGCTGGGTAAAACCCAGAGCTGATGAATGCCCAGTGCCCACGGGGAAGCACCCTCAGCCACAGACACCCCAGGTACCTGTGGGCACCCCTTGCACACCACATCCTACCACCTGCCACCCCAAAACCAAGATGCTGGATGAGTCGCAGCATTGCTGGGTGCCTCATACAGGGACTGGCCTTGCCAACGGTCCTGCCAGCCCATGCCCGCCGCATTCCTCAGAGGCACCGTGGCTGCCTGCTGTGCTTTGCAGACTGCTCAAACTGTGGTCAGCACTGCTGCCCTGCTGGAGCCCCCCAGGAGCTGGAGCACTGCTGCAGAGTCTGGGGGAGCCCTGTCCCGGGGAAATGTTGACAGGAAGGCAATGACAAAGCCAGGAGGATGCACGCAGTAAGGCTCAGCAGGACACCCTGTTGCTGAGCTGTCCACAGTTTGGAGTGAGAACGGAGTCCTGTGGTCCCCCTGCTATCCTCTTTCCTAATTCTCATGTTCCTCTAAAGCAGGTAGGAGGCTGCACAGACCAAAGGGCACCATAGCAGAAGGCTGGTGAAAAGCATTTTGCTCAGAGAGGCTGTAAGGGATCTGAACAAAGCTGGAGAAATTTCAGGGAGGCACCGAGAGGGAAACAGCAGCATCACTCCAGAAGTGGAATATGGACCCAAGGGCTTAAAATGTGAAGATCAAACCACTTGCAAGTCTGCAACAAGGTGGGCTGAAACATGGAGCAGGTGGAAAGCGTGCTAAAGCCCTGGGTGCCGTTAGCAAAGCTCTCCTATGGCACTCAGAGCAGGAAAACCAGGGGAGCAGCAGGAGGTGGCAGCTCCACCAGCCCACTTCTCCCTTTAGGCTGCTCAAATCCC